GTTTACCTGCTCAACTGATGACCTTCCAGTCTTGGTCACTAGGTCCTAATATTAAGAAAATTTATGCTAATGAGTTAATAGCCAGGTGCTTTATCCAGGGGATTTGATACCTAAGACTGAGCATTGGTGGGGATGTCGGCATTCTGACAAGCAGCCCAGGAAGAGATCGTTTTGAAATAGCGGGGCCTCTTGGTGCCCTTGAAATCTTGTAGGTGTACGCTTAGCCAAATTTGTGGCTCTGTACATACTAAAATACATTCAATATAGTAAGAATTTTTTTTTTAATGGAGAGTTTTCTATTACTCTGCCTTAGAAGTTTTATTAACTATTAGACCTGGAAAAATCCAACATTGGTCTTGATCTGAAGATTTTTTTCATGAATTGATCTATGTGTGATTTGTCGCTGTCTCTTGGGGTGAGAGGAGGTTAAAAAAAAAAAAAAGACACCCCCCCCCACCCCTGCCCCTGATGTTGTGCTTTAGGCTAGCTAGAAAGGCTTGGCCCACTGACTTGCTAGGATGAATGAGATTGGTCATGTGTTTGTGTTCTCAGGCTGTTTATTTAGCTGGCATTCATTTGGGACTAAATACTTAAAGCTATTTAACCTAAAACACCTGATTTTTGAGTAACACTTGTAATCATCTATTGAAACATGGTAGAAATAAATCTAGCTTTTATAACAAAGGCTGAATAAAAGAATTAGAATTGTTAGAAAATATTTCCCTTTCGATTTTTTCCAAAGAAAAATCACGACAAGAGTTAGTTTGTTCAAGTATTTTCTACCTCCTCCCAGCTGATTAGGTTCTTTTTATGTGGCATTTCGGCCTTGAGTTTGTGTGAGTCAACAAATGGACAACAGCAAATGTTCAGCCATCTTACTGGTGTCAAGCCTAGCAAATTGGCAAATTACATGAATACACCAAATGCATAAACAAGTTTGCATGAGCCAAGTATTCTAAATGAGGACGGCAGCTGCCGGTTAGAGCCTTAAGAATAGAAATGCCCCTCCTGATCTTCTAATCTGTTGCTGCTGCAGGTTGGAAATGTCAGTGCTGAGATTTATAGATTTAGGGCTCTGGGATAACAAGTTGCCTCTTTGAACTTTTCAGCTTGCAGAGCTTCTTGTTATCCAACCAGACAAAGATACAGAGACATTTATGCTTCCCTGTGTAATTCTTGAGTCATTCACAACATCAGTGGTGGGCTAAAAAAAAGTTTTTCTGCGGGACACTGGTACAAAGTACTCATCAGTAAACTATGAAAAGTGTCAGAGGTTCCCTTCGGCTAGTAAACTCTTCATATTGGTGACTAGAGTGTGAAACTCTTAGACTTCCACTTGTTTTGCAGTCTGAGCTTAATTGAACCTAAGCAACACCCCTAGGGTAATGGAAAAAATTCACTCCCTCCTCTGCTCCTTCATAACGACACTTCTTTTTTGTGTCTGTAGTTTCTACCTAATTCCTCTTCCTCCAACTTCCCCTTTAAGGGTTGATGTTAGAAAGATTGTTTCATGCTTTGGAGGGTTGTTGTTTAACTGAAACTGAATATCCATGGTTCATGATTCAGTACTGAACTCGATATGAGAAACGTCTTCTGGTCAATCTGTAAAGGCAGCTCGAAGCATTATTTACAACAGCCAAGATATGGAAACAACCTAAGTGTCCATGGAGGGATGAATTGGTAAAGACATGGTGTGTATGTGTATACGTGTGTGTATGTACATGTGCACTAACAATGGAATGCTACTCAGCCATAGAAAAAGATGAAATCTTGCCGTTTGCAACAACATAGATGGACACTGAGGGTATTACACTAAATGAAATAAGTTAGTTGGATAAGGACAAATACCGTATGACTTCACTCATATGGAAAAGAAACAAATGAACAAACACAAACAATCTCATAGATGCAGAAAACATCTTGATGGCTACTAGATAGGAAAAGGGGTAGGGGTGTGCACAGGGGGTCAAATGTATGGTGATAGATGGAAACTAGACCTTTGGTGGTGAGAATGCTGTAGTCGAAGTACAGTATTGTACACCTGACACTTAGCTAATGTTAGGAACCAGTGTGACCTCAATAAAAAAACAAACAAACAAAAAAACCCAGCTTTCTATCTCACTATGAATAATCAAGTGGCAGGTAGAAGGAACTCTGATCTAGTTGGTCCTCTAATTGCTTTTGATCAAAAGAAATTGGTAAATCACTTAGTCTATGAATCTTCTTCCTTTTCTTTCTTTCTTTCTTTTTTTTTAAATTCCCTAGTGTCAGGAGAATATTTCCATGGATATTTTATTTATACTGAGAAACAAAACCTAAATCTCAAACCACCATTTATAAAACCCACAAACTCCTGGGCTGTCATTTTGGTTGTGGACTCTGAACTTCTTTCTGGTTGTGTTCTGTGTGGTGGATGAATGTGTCTGATAGGGCCGCATTTTAAAGGCAAGACATGTAAGGATATAATTTAGTGATGTTTTGCTGAATGCATTTTTTGCAATACATGTCTCTTCGTATATTTTACTCTTTTAACAATATTCAGTTATCTCTTAGCCTACTTGAGGCAGGCCTGACAATTTTGTGATAGTTTGAAACATGCATAATAGCTCGATATATGTGTCTGATTATGACATTAGCCATTTTTGGTTAACTTTAGTACTATTTTTGATTGTATGAATCACTGTATATTTAACAAGTGAGCTGACTAAATGCCATTAAATGAGTTGTCCTTATTTTGGCATATGCCCTGCCCCAATTTTAAGTTTTCATATTGAACTCTAGCACTTAACTACCACTTTTAAATCTCTGCCTTTTAATTTTGGAAACCAAATATGGCAGATTTATTCAGGTGGCCAAGTAGACTTTTTCTGACCTTGAATGTGGTTTACTGGTATTACATTTTAAAAAAAAGGCAGTATTTGCCATTTTAGGGTAGCATAAGCCCATGAGATTTTCCGAAGATCATTTTTAAAGTCTGACTTGCAGCTGCCTGACATCTACATTTTTAGCTAAAAGGCATCTTCCTTGCATTCATACTTAAGTGACCCTGGAATGCAGTGCGAGGATAGTTTGCTCCGGGTTAATCTTTGGACACTTCATAGCTGACAGGCATCAGCATCTGTGGTTTATATTGCATTGTTCTTTGGGTCTAGAAATAACATTCTCCTAAATCTGATGATAGTTAGGGGAATGTTTACTAAGATTGTGTTTTTTTAACATTTGCACAGTTTTAATCCTGGAGGTAAAACATAACACAAGTGTGATTAAAAAATATCTGCCATTCAAAAAATACATGACACTAGTAAGGTTGAAGTAATACTAAGAACTCATGTTTTGTGCTGAATGTTCATCAAGATATATTCCTGTCTGTGCCCTTTAATATGGGTGCCAGATATTAGTTCACATGGGCTTATTGAGGAAAGTACTTTTATATGCATATACATTCAGGCTAAGGCTTTATTATTAGTGTTTTTCAGCAGTACAACCAAAAAGTCAAATGAGATACTTTTGTTTTATTATAATTTTAATGGAGTCTGGATAAGAGAGTCCTTTGAAAATTGAGCAGACCACAATTCATTTATATGCAGTCAAAGAGCTTTTGGCCCTACAGTGTAGGGCATATAATCTTATTAGAAAGCCCTTTAAAATCAATAAAAAATAACCTTAAAAGTGCGGTAGCATTGAGTTCATTCTTTAAAAAAAAAAAAAAATCTATTTTTAATTACATTATTCTCTTTAAATGTACCAAGTGGTTTTTATTTTAAAAATGCTTTTACCCTATGTCTGTATTCACTACTGTCCAAAATGATCATTTTTTAGTTGTAAAAATCTCTCTTCTCGTCATTTCAGAGCCTAATCCTTGAACGGCCATTTTGCTGAAAAACAGTTAAAGCAACAGTCTGTCAGCCTGGTCTGGTTCTTGCTAGAAGAGTGTCATCATGCATTTCTTTGCCCAATGTGAGCTTTAGTTCCAAATTTTTGAATGAAATAAAATTAAAGTCAGAGAGTTAAATATAAAAAGTAAATCTTGTAGACAGAGCACTCATTAGCATCCACTTATTAATTTTAAATCTAGGGGTTTGGAGACCATTGTACCATTATCATACTGATAATTGAGCTGATAACAGATTTGATGACACATTGGCAGTTGTGAAGGGCAGCTGATGATAATGGTGCAAACTCAAAAAAGTTTAGTAAAATCTGCAGGAGGTATTTTTGATCATTTGGCCTTGTTCTGTTGGCTGTTGGTCTTTGCTTGGCAAGAGGAAGGCGTGGTAGTTACCTCCCCAGCTAGTGAGATTTTAAAGTGCTTGAAAGCGCAGCTGTTACTGCCTCTCTGACAAGACAAATGGAAGCAGTGCAGTTGTATATTGATTGGGAAACCCACCCAAACTTATACAATTTACATAAACCTGAAAACAATTTAAATTTTTCATAAAAGAAGGCTCTTCGACTATTGAAAAACCTCTTTTTCTCTTTCTGTTCAAGAAACAGTAAATAAATATGCACATAATCTTAGAAAATGGGGTAACCACAAATATTTTTCTTGAGAATTAATGGTACATTTTGATCTTAACCACTTAGATGTAAAGTTAAAGGAGATCTTTTATATAATTAAGTGGCATCTTAAAACATCTGATTGGTCATGTTTCTGCCCTGCCGAGTTGATGAGAAGAAAGTCAGCCTAACAATTCAACTAAATAAAGTCATGCCCAAGTTGGTTAACATGATAGAGATGTTTGGTTTTAAGAGAGCTTAGAAAGAGTACTGAGTCCTGAAATGTTCTGTTTGAAAAGCTGAGCTCTTTAAAATTTGCTTTTAACATGGCTGATGACTCTTAATTATAGTGATAGACTTGCTGGTGTGATGTCTATTTGAGAAGGAACAACACTGGGGTGCCTACATATTATTATTTTTAATGTTTTAAGATGCTTTTCTTTGAGAATGGCATTTCTGAGTCCTGTCATTTTTGCTCTGTTTCAGGTGTGAATCATGGTGACAGTGAAAGACGATGATTTACTGCTTTGGGGGGCATGCGTGTATATGATGAAGGGATGTAAGTGCAGGACTCCAAGATTTACTTCCTTCCTGTTCCAGCGGAGATAGACGAGGAGAGTGAGTAATGGGATAATTTATAACACCACAGGCCCTTCATCAAGAGACCTCTAATCAAAACAGGAAGATAAAACTCAGATTTCAACTGGGAGAATACAACTTTTGATACTTTCTGGACATACTTCTTCTTTGCAAGCAGTAGAGTCTTCAGAATTTTTGTTTTACTTTTTTATGGAGATTTCCATTAGGAAGGTTTGTGTGTCAGTTCTGGCTAAGTCACATAGGTACTCTGTTAAATTTTATACATCTTTCCTCCATGCTGTTTCTTGACAATCTTATGTTGGGGCATCAAAGAAACTTAGTGGTCTAATTATAGAATTCAGGTTCTTTTTATAAGGTCAAAATATTATCGAGTGTGAGTGTAATGACAAATTCAAAAACATTTTTTTTCGAGCTTACCCAAAACTACTATTCTGTTTCTCAGAATCTTTCATTTTCATTTATATGTACTCCATTCCAATTTTGAGGTGTGAAGTGGGATTTTGGGTGGATAAGAGTTTTTCCCCCAATCTTGCGTGTGTAGGACAAAACGGTTTAACTGGTGGCTGTGGAGAGGGCTTTATCTAGGGAATTTTTTTTTTTTTTTTTTTTAATATTGCAAGCAGATATAGGAGGAGTTGAACAGGGCATTTGGTAATGTTCAAATGGTTTATTTCATTGCCATTAGTTCTAGAAACAGGCTTCTGTGTTTTTATTTTCATGTGTTTTAAAAATGCCAGCTACAGCATTTAGAACAAAAAACATTCTAAAATTAAGATCTATCATTACTTTGGAATTGCTTATTGTTCAGAGGTTTCGGGCACTACTGAATGTGATAGGATCTTCTGACTTATTGTTGGTTTATGAAAAGTGAATAACAGTGATATTTTTATTTTAAAAATACTAATATTACCTTTCACTTTGGAATGTTTTAGCAGTTGGCCGTAGAATTCTTATATTTGAGATCGTTAAGAAAAAATGGGAACAGTTCCAAGCTCTTCCTTTTCTCCCATCTGCCTTAGGTGACTAAAACACTCCCATAAATAACTTGTAACCTTTTGAACTGACCTTCAGGTTCATGTGATGTAAATATTGATGGCCTTGACATTTCTTGGTATGTGCACAGTTCAGGAGGCACAGTATCTCCAGATAACTCAAAGCAGGTGGACGAGTAAGTAGATATAGCTTTGGTCTCTCACTGATCCCTATAATTCAGAGGAACCCTTACCATAACCCTATTTTTGGACTTTGTACAGAGAGAAATGTCTCAAAGGTAATCGACCAGTTCCGATCCTCTTGGCATTTCTATAGCCCAGTCTCTCTGGATTGGACTCATGTTAATATGGCCTTGTAAGAGGATGTTTTCTAGGAGAAATAACATATAAGCGAGCCCCTATCCCCTTTAATATTAAAGACTTGAGTACCACTACCAGGGTGATTATATAGTAGCTTATTGTCTGGGCTCTGGAGCCAGAGTTCCCAGGTTCAAATTCTGATTCTACCATTTACTAGCAAGATGATGTTAGGTAAATTATTTAACCTCTCTAAGCCTTCATTTCCTCAGCTATAAAATGGGGATAATGATATATTAGAATCAAACTAGAGCTATCCAATTGTGATGAATGTTAGGCATTCATAAATTTTCAGGTCTTGTGTGCCTGTAGAGACTAACCTACAAAGCTGATGAGACCTACAGCTTAAAAAAATCTTCTATTTGTAGGTTCGCAGTCCTGTAGTATATATTTAGTTACATGAAAATCATATAGTGGAGGGAAAATGAAAATATAGCACTGACTACACAAAAATAGTTTAACAAGTTTTATTTTGCTCTGGGTTTTTAAGTAATTTTTCTGGTTTTATGGAATGTGTATATTAGACATTAGAATACTTACTTCATTGTATTGTCAAACATTATTAGTAGCCTTAATTTATACATCCATTGTGCTGCAGTTTTAGTTTCAGAACTACCCCCTGCAGCAATTATTATAGCACTTGAGAGGATGGAATTACTGTATTTTGTTTTGGGGTATTTTTTTTCCTCACTAATATGCATGGGCACCACAAAGTGGTGCTTACCAATCTGTCTGTTGGAGCAGTTGTACATATATTACCTGAGCACTTAGGTACCATTGAGAGAAGGGGTTAAAATGGAGAAGAGGAAAAATTGAAAATAAAAATAACGATTGAAATTACAGAAGCTTCTTTGCAAAGAATACCTAAACTGTTCTTAGAAGCAGATTTAATAGCCAGTTGCAACACTACTCACTATTGTCTTTAAGAAACCAAGCCCAACCCACAAAGTTGAAACTGAAGTACAAATCTGGAAAATTTCCAGGACATCAAGCAGTGCAAGCCTCTAGATCTCAAACTGAAGGGGAAAAAAATCCAATTTACAAAGTAACTTCTTTCATTGATTGTGAGCTGTCAGTGTTTGCGTAGATCCTGAAACATTAACTGATTAAATTCTTCAATGCTATGTGATCATAATTATGGCCTCCGCTGCTCTGAGCTTCTAAATTTGTGTATCGACACATGGATGCTCACTAAATGAGTAGTAGAGAGCAGAGTGGAACGTTTGGCATCAGCTCGATCTTTCCTAAAGAGAACCAGTAGAAAGACATTGAAGTCAATTCAAGTATTATTTACTGATTGCCTGTGCTTTCTAGCACCTAATAAACTATCCTAGCCCTTAAAAACACCACGTGTGTCTAATTCTCTTTTTCCAATACACTGGGTACAAAAATATTCTGCACTGGTATAGAGGGAAGATTTCAGGTGTACTTCACACCAGTGAACTCTGTGTTTTCCAGCACTTGCCCTTTTCAGTTCCTCCGGGGCGATAAGATGAAATATCCCCCCATATTTGGTTGTCTTAATTTTTTCCCTAGGTGGCC